TGGGTAAAAGTAGTGAAATAAACGCGATAAAATCCGTAAATTTAGTTTTATTCAATGTGTAGTGTTCGCGTAAATTTAAGAAATCATTATGTTGAAGTGAGATGAAGAGTATAAAAGAGGAAATAATTAAAATAATGTGGTAAAGTGATAGTCCTTTTTCCAAGACGGGACTCAGACCTCCTCTTATTTCCGGAAAGCTTTTGTAGGTAGGTATCCGTCGGTTCACCCAAAGCACGTTATCAAGTTCTTTCTTCTTTGAAATAAATTAAATTTTTGAAATATTTCTTTTTCTCCGAAGATTTCCTCTCATTTTCGATTAATGCCCATCACGTGGTAAAACAATAATTAAAAATATATGTGTTAGCGGCAGAAATAAAACTGGACTTGCTCGCGTAGGTGGTAGGAAATTTAATCAGAGCATCAATAACACTAAACGACCCGAAACAGATGAAGAAATGTCGTAATAAGATATATAGTTTTCTTAACAAAGCTCACTATAATTTTTTACTTCCTAAATTGTAAATGTATGAAAAAAGTTGAATAAAATATAGATACTTCCCATATGCTAAAATAATTATTTTAGTAAAAAGAATATAACACCAAACTAAAGACAAAGTCATCTTCAGCAACACTGTGCCTGCGGGCGCACTGCCAACATACTTCAAATGTTTTGAACAATCGTACATCCCTAAAAATGCTGAAGCGACTCAAGTGTTCACTTACTCATTTACCTCTTATCTTTGCATACACGTTGCAACCAGTATTACATTTTTTTAAACGGGCTTTATTTAGTAAATTTATAAATTTATAATTTAATCACTTTCTCTAGGGCGCTACAATATAGTTGCAATGCAGCTTTCGATTGATCACTCGTTTTGAGTTATTCAACAATCAGTTCGTATTTACAAAAAAAATTATCTCCATAAATAACAGTATATTCTGGATTTGCTTTAATAGCATAAACGTTTCGCACCTTTCATATTTTTATCGTGATGTGATATCGTACCAGAAGTATTGGGTAGCACAACAAAGGTAAATAATCTTTTCATGCTACCGCTTTATGTGCTAAAATTGTTAATTCTGGTGGTTCCGGTGAGATATAAGTAAAGCGAATAACATATCATCGCCGTCATCATTACAGTCCTTCACAAGACCACTTGTGCGTTTTCACAGTCGTAATTTATAGCCTATTTTAAAATCTCTACTCATCGTGTGCTGCGTATATTGAAAATATACAACAACAGTACGCACAGGTTGGGACTGATCGCGTATAGTTTCAATTTGTTATGAGCATAACCATTTTTAGAAACAATACATAGTTATTACGCTTTTATCGCGTATACTTTCCAATAAGGTACGCTTACGAGTAAACTTAGAGCGAAAAACATATTGCACTAGTTAAAAACATAGATCGAGCACAAACGCGATAGTAGATAGTATTTGAATGTTATACAAAATAACACTAATATTATAATAAAACTTATAATTACTTCCAGTTCGCCTGATAAGTCCGTGAAAAAAAAAGAAAATGTACTATGGAGATTATATAACACATATTGACTAATATTGACCCTTGAAGATACTTCTGTAACAGCTTCAGCGCTGCGGGAAGTGCAACCCCTTCGCCCATGCGTAGCAAATCGCAGTCACCCGTGGGAGCCGTAGCGGCTGAGGCTGGTCGCCGAAAGCGACCAATAAGCCGAAGCTGTGGAGGTGAGCCTTGAAGTTACTCCGGGAGGGAGGAGATCCTTGAATTTACTTCTGTAACAGCTTCGGCGCTACGGGAAGTGCAGTTCTTCGCCCTTGCGTAGCATATTGCAGGTACCCGTGCGAGCCATAGCGGCTGAGGCTGGTCGCCGAAGGTGACCAATAAGCCGAAGCTGCGGAAGTTCGGCTTATTGATCGCTTGTCGCGAGGCTGGTCGCCGAAGACGACCAATAAGCCAAACCTCCGCAGCTTCGGATTAATGTCACCTTCGGCGACCACCCTCAGGCGCTACGGCTCGCACGGCAATTTTCTACCTGCAATTTTCTACGGCGGGCGGGGGCACCTCTCCCTCCGCGCCTACGGATTTACAAAAACACAAACAAGACTACGTGGAGTCGGAGCGTGCTGATTCAGTTTTAGAATTTGTCGAAATGATTCGACATTGTATAAGGTACACATAATTATATTCAATTATGACAATGCATGCCGTAAAAAAAGTATGTGTCACATTGACAATCTTTATACATACAACATGTAACAAAAACCCTGTGGTTCCCGTTAAGTGTGTTATCAGAATCAGTATTCAAACGTATAGAAATGATTTTTTTTTCAAAAAAACACATTTAAAAAATAATTTTAATGAAAAAAATATTAACTTGCAAATTGTATGTGGTTTCATTTCCTCTAACTTACACGAGTATGGGTGATGCGAGGTCTTTGACAATCCTCTTACTCCCAGGCCAATACAGAGATAATAAAACCACCTACAATTTGCAAATTAATTATTTTTCATAGAAATAAGTTTTTTAAATGTGTATTTTTGGAAAAAAATCTATATTCCAAGCATATAGAAATATTTTTTTTCCAAAAATACTGATTCTGATAACGCTGTTAACGGAAACCACAGGGTTTTTGTTACATTTTGTATAAATTACGTGTCACGTTGTTTGTCCGCAATGGACTCCTAAACTACTTAATCGATTTTGATCAAATTTGCACATCGTGTTCAGTTTGGTCTAACTTGAGAGATTGGATAGTTTTTTGCCCACGAGTGACCCACAATTATTTTTGCGAATTTAAGGGTTTTTAATAGAACATGACAAAGGGTCGTCGAAAAGGGCAGAACAACATCTGCCTGGCAAGCTAGTTAATCGTATTTCTTGCGTCGTCGCGCCGCAAGCGAAACACACCGAAGCCTAAATCACGCTATCAAAATTCCGAATCATAAACAGTATATATAGAACATCTCTGAACTCTAACACAGAGTGTTGGCCGCTCCTGGGGCAGAATACCTTGCCCGGCGGGAGATCTCCCCTTTTCCTTCCAGGGCCACAGTGTTTCTTGTGCTCTTGAATGGATGACGAAAATACCAAGATGTCATCTATATATCCGTAGCAGAAGTGGAGTCCTAGCAACACCTCATTAATGAACCTCTGGAAGATCTGTGCTGCGTTTCTTAAGCCACAAAGGTAATTGGACATAATATTATGAAGATAAATAAGATTTAAGTTCGTAATAAAATACTACTTTTATAATAAAAATAATTTTGTCTAATTGTTGCATATTTTTTAATATAATGACATTTAGTCAGTAAATTTCTGAGCTTGTATACTTTACTAATACTTTTTACGCGTTTATTTCCTAAATGTATACAATGTAAGAACATATCGGTTCTAGCCTTGTATAAATCTCTTAACTAATTTACTGAATCAGCGTTAGAAAGTATACGCAACTAGTATGCGGAAATCGTATATATTTTCTGAAAATTTTATTTGCTACACAGTCTGAAAACATACAGTGTAAGAACATTATGAATGCATGCTGTCCTTGTACACTTTCAATATACGCTCGTGTGCTATAGAACAACACCACGGAGCATGGGCAAAAAGGCATGAGCTTAGAGTATATATAAATTAGCATAGCTTGCTTAATATGTATAATCCGTCTAAGTTATTAATAAAAAAGGGAATTGCGTAAGAATAACTTGAACCATTTTTAATACCAAGCGATAGGATGTATACTTAAACAAAATATCACCACAGAACATGGTCAAAAGGATAAACTTAGAATATACATAAGCGTAGCTTAGTAATGCATACTCAAACTCTCTTATTAATAAAAATTTAAAATAAATATTATTTAAACATATTAAAGATACACTATTCCAAGACTATAAGATTGACTGACTCTGTGGTCTAGTGGTTGTAGTAGTGCGACTGCTGATCATGAGGTCCTGAGTTCGAACTCCGGGTCGGATAAAAAACAATTATTGAGTTTTTCTGTCAAGAAATTCTCAGTAGCTGCCCGGAGTCAGTATGTTGGCGGTGTCTTACCCCCGTGCACCGGAAAGCACGTCTTTACGTGCTTTCCCTAAGTCCTAAGGGCTTTCCCTAGGTCCTGCGCCTTATCTCTCTCCGATCGTGTCGGTTTACCGTCCCGTCGGATTATGAGAATGATGGAATAGAGTGCACTTGTGCTTGCGCTATAATCCTGTCCTGCACCGATGGCTAGTCTCCGTTAAGGCTACCCGCCGTGACCGAAATTCGATCTGGAGGACATTACTTAATTACACAATTCCTAAGGTATTACTTGTCGTGGAATTATTGTGAGCCTATTAATAATGTAGTTAGTCCGGACTCTAGTTATAAATTATCGTTTACTGATCTGAAATAAGGAGATTAAACTTGCAGTACCTTTAGATCTTATATATGTTTGGCCTTGAAAGTATTTTATTAATGTAGCTGAAAATGCCATCATCTGTGGACACTGTTAGGATACCGAGAAAATGACAGAATCTGCCACCTCTAGTGAAATTAGAATGTTTTTTATTTTATTTTATTTCAATAGCCTCGCGATCATCCTTGGAAGGAATTTGCCATCACTGAAGAACTATATCTCCATATCGTTGTTTGTCACTAGCAATTGGCATTGATTGTACAGTGCCAACTAAAATTGTCATCGGATTTTGTAGAAACACGTTACTATAAAAAATTACCTAAATGGGTTATTTTTTCTTCATTTTCAACAAACCTTTGACCATGGAGATATCGTGTTATTTAACGAAATAAAAACACAGACTGTAAAACTTATAGAGACATGATAGAGTCGGTAAATAGAGGTACAAGTTAAATTGCTACTATATTTTATCTGCGTTTATCAAAATTCGCATCCTCGGTATGTCATCAAGTTTAAATAAATAAAAAACCACCAGAGTTTAGAAAAAAATATATTTATTCATGCATTAAGAAGACAAATCGTCTCTTTTTTTGGGATCGCAACAAGGCATACCAGGTTCAGTATGCGGGCAAACTAAAAACAACATCTTCTTCTTTATGCGAAAGACACTCATTGTGTTTACCTGTCAAGGGCTTCATATCATTTTCAAGTGGAGGTGAAGCTTCTCGAGGAAAGCCGGCCACCCGTTCTGCTTCCGGCGACATCCTCTGTATCTGCTGCCGTAACGTCTTAACGCGTTCGTATGCGCCCTTTGGTAAACGCATGTAGTCGGTTATCTAGACATTACAAATGTTATGTAAAATACGTCTGTATTATGAGCATGTGCGTTGTAGGTAAAATAGAAGTAATAGCAGAAATAAGGATAACTGAGGTTGTTGTTTGATTACAAAAGGACGGATATTTGTGTTCATTTAAATTAGTGTTACCCAAATGAAAGAACAGACGAGACTCAGCCGGTCTTGGTTTTGGTCTTGCGCCAATACGCCTGGTCTTAGTTTTGTTCTTGACATTGCACTCCTAGTCTTGGCCTTGGTCTTGTTCTTGCAGCAAGAGTCTCGCAATTGTCGCAATTACCTATTAGCCTATTGCTATTTATACTTATATTTTATACGTGGTAGAGCCATGCTGCAGTTATATTAGATGTATAGTTGTAGCACGAATGGGTCGGCTCGACCGGGGAAGGACCAGGCTCTCACAGAATACCAGCGTGAAATAGTAGCTTAATGCTGCTGTATTTCGTATGGTGAGTGTAGAGAACCGGCGACACATTTTACTGGAAACGAGGCATTCCATCTTAGTCCTCACGGGTGACAACACATCTGCATTTTGATTCGTAATCGAGGATAGATGTAGATGTCTATGGGCCACAGCAACCACTTACCATCAGGTGGACTGTGTGCTTGATTGTCACCCTATCCTATAAAAAAAATTATTAAACGTTACTTTAGATCAACTTAACAGAGAATAACTTAACAGAGTAGGTACATTTTGAGCTTGAAGTAACATAGCCATAGCAAAAACCAACCAAATTAATAAATGTCTAAAGATTTAATGAGAAATTCGAAAACGCGACTGACACTGGGTAGGGTTTGAACCCACGACCTAAGCGATCCGTGCCGATGCTCTAACCAACTGCGTTATCTACCGTGTCCCACGGCCACGGGAGTCGGTCTGTTTCTTGTGATGTGTATATTATGTTCTTCTTGTGATAGAATTAATCTATTTTAATTAAATTAAATTTGCCTAGGTACGTAACTTGCTGTATTTATCTAAGTACTTACTAACTACTAGAGTACGATAGAAGTTAATAAACCGACACTGTTAATAAATTTTTGGAAGTGTGTGATTTTAAAACACAAAATGCGTGAATATGACTTCACTCATTCAAAATTCAAAGTTCAATTATTTGTTATTCAAGTAAGCATCAAAAATATACTTTCGAATAATCATATAATCACTGTTTTCCCCAATTTTTTCTTTTCCGTGTCAGCACCCCTGAGGTGCTGATTCTACTGAGAAGAATCGTGGAAGAAAGTAAGACGCTCAGTAGTTGCTCTTTTCAAAATATTTTTACGATAGTATTATAATTATGTAAAGCGATAAGTCAAACATAAAATGCCAAATGTATATGTAGATACCAAATCGGTATGGAAATTTTCAGTTAGTCCTGTGTAGTACGAGAGGTCAGTTCCAAGCTTTTTTGTGATTAAGATAACTATTTACAAAATAATATGCTTTTTTGGCTAAACAAGCTTTAATGTGCGACTTAAATTGAAAAGTAAAAGGTCTAACATTTCTTTTGGAATCTTGTTATTAAAGCGTATACCGCCCAAGAACGAATTGTATACTTTGAGTAGCCGGAAAGCAGGTAATGTGATTTTATTTTTTATTTATACTATTAAAATTGTGCAAATCACTATTTCTTACATATAAGTGAATGTTTTGTCCTACATACATGTTACTTGCAAAAATATATTGTGATACAACAGTCAAGATATCAATTTCTTTAAGCAGTTCTGTCCGAGATACTCGGACTCCTAAGCAGTAGGTACATAGATCTTATTGCACGCTTTTTATTTTATATGCACGCTTTTTATATTATTCGATTAGCATTGTAGAAAAAAATTACACGTTTTAAGCGTGTTAAAAGTGTCAATATTTATCAAATCGGTGATGACTTGTTCGAGCACTTTGTGTTTTAAAAACACACACTTCCAAACATCGATATTTCCTGTGAACTTATTGAGCATGTTTATCTATTAGGTAGTAGATAATAATAATAGAAAGTAATTATTACAAACCATTATAATTAATATTATAATAATTACTTACTAGAATAAATTATTATGATAACTACCTATCCTTACCGTCTAATTCAATATTTTTTGCAAGATCACCATAATGTATTCGTTTCCATTCTGAGCATCCGGAAGCTTATTTTGTTCTTTGGAACATGTACTCTGTGGCGGAAATCAAACAGTGTCAAATGTTGTGCGTGCGGCGCGGCGGCGACGATTGTATACGATATGTATGCAATAGAAGCCGCCAGCGCGTGTTTCTTGACCTTGTGTTTCCGAATAAAGGCATAATTTTCTTGTCAGGTCCGACCTTTAATGATGCCGACAACAAGACGCCGCGCAATATCAAAGTGCCGATGGTCAAAACTAAGAATGCACTCTTTTTTCTTTTAATGGATATTTTCATTCGCTGTTAATGTTTATGTTAGTAATGCGCATAAGTCCAATTTTCAATTTTTTATATAGTTTTTGCATCTTTTCTAACTGCAAGACGCAAGAGCCTCGCAGGCTTAGTCTTGTTCTTGCTCAAAACCTGCACGTTCGGTCTTGTTCTTGGTCTTGCTAAAATTTGACGGTCTTGGTCTTGGTCTTGCAAAAATGCAAGAACAAGACCAAGACTGATTTTGGGCAACACTAATTTAAATAAAATAATACTAGTAAAAATACCTCAAATCAGTAGTCAAATTGCTTATTCGAACCCACGACTTTCTGAATTTGCAGTATTAACCATTAGGCTACTGTCGCTTCCAATTTATCATATTATGATATTATCTATGGACCATAAGAGTCCAATAACAAAAAAAACATTACACTAGGAAAGCAGAGCAGTAGACACATGGATATCTTTTAGAGATGCCCATTCCAGGATTCTCGCGTCATGATCTTATTTATGCTTCATACAAGGGTAAGCAATACTGCCCTCCGTGCATGTATATGCAGCTTCTCCAAAATTAATATCGTTTATTTCATTAATGACGCTTATAACTTCAACTTAAGCGCTTAACTAGAAGCGTCCTAAGTTGATGTTAAGGTGTCCTTTCTTAGCAAAATAATATTTTTACTATACTATGCTCATGCTCCAGCGCATAAGGTTTATTTGAGGCATTCGCGTTCTCCTGCACCGTTGTGTAAGGATAGCCGTGACTAGACGGAAGCTTTCTGATATTTTAATAGAGATTGAACCAAAGAAAACAGGACTGTCTTTAATACGGCTAGGAATAAATGCAGTCAGATGGTAGGTGCTACTAAACGCTGGTATTTTTTAGTAATATTACGTAGTAAGTAATTAAACTTTTAGTAATGGTAGGCCAGCCGTTATGTATTATTGTCCTGTTCTCTTTCGTGTAGTGGCAGTGTGAGAATATCCCCTGCCCCAATACACGTAAGTGTCGTAACAGGCGACAGAGAGAAATAAATCAGGAGATAGGCTGCAGTGTCTTCCTAATAACGACTAAAACTACGGTTGCCATTCCGTTTGCTAAGGGTAGGCTGTAACGGCGCCACTACAAAATAAAACATCAAAAAATGTGTACTGGCTATTATTTCTGAGGTTGCGATTTGCTATGAGATTAGAAGATTTATGACTGTCACTACTTTAGAACAACTTTTTCCAGCAATTAGCCACATCATTACTATTCCCCTTAACTCTGATCAGTATTTTAAATAACCACTGTAGTGTTATGCTACTTACATATCATTTTACACTATTTTAAATTTATTTTTCCATTCTGTTTTTGATTTTATGTATTCGCCTCAAAAGTGGATATTTTGCATCACCTTTATTTCCATAGGATCCTGTAACGTTTTTAAACCATAAGAACACAATAACAAATCATTTTCACATCGTATTTTCACGTTATCAGCACTTTTTAAATCGGTATCAATGGAGTCTACCTTTTTCGGTCTTTTATTTAGTTCTCCGTAACTCTGCAATTTCGGGCTTCGTGCGCACTGTTGCGCTACCTTTTTTCCTATATCAATAATATCTCATTTTTCACTTAAATCTTTCCGTTTCTCTATTACGAGCCTAAAACCAAAATTTGACATATTTTGACATCGTTGTTTATCTGGTTGTCATGGCAATTTTTATTCGAATTCCAGGTCTGGTCGAAGTTACAGGTCTGATGTTTTTACTTCAATATTTCCACATAAATACTCTTTTCCTCTTGGCCATTTACAATTACAATTTGATTTTAATTTAAATAATATCTAATTTAATTTAAATAATATCCCGTTCTTATCCCAGATCCGTCAAAAAGTATAAAAGCCGAACAATCGGCCAATAACAAAAGTCTCGCTTCAGCTTTCATACTAGAAGCATCTCCTAAAGGACTTATCCGCACTGCCCCGGGATCCTGCAAGCCTCTGCCTTCACCTGAAGTCGTCGCCTAGCCACGCCTACGCCTCCACCTGCTCCAGACGCTGCGTGTACCTACTCCAGACGCTGCGTGTGCCTACTTATGATATTTTAGTCATGCTGCAGCTATATTATAGTTAAATCACGAATAGGTCGATTTGATGTTGCTATGTTTCGTGTGGTGAGTATAGAGAACATAGAGAACCGGAGACACTCCTTACTGCAAAAGAGGTATTCCATCTTAGTCCTCAGGGGTGACAACGCATCAGCATTTTGATTCTTTGTCGTGGATAGATGTCGATGTCTATGGGCCACAGTATTCACACACCATAATGTGGGCTGTGGGCTGTAGGCTGTGTGCTTACTTGTTACGATATTTTATAAAAATAATGAAAACCTCGAGCTGAAGTGTATGAATGGATTCTCTGTACCACCACCCGACGAACTCTTCACTTACGCTACTACACTAGTACAAAATATGCAACCAATTAATTATTACCTCCCCCATTTTGTAAAATATTTAAGGTTTGTAGGGTACTTTAATTCGTATTGTACATGATAGTAAAATATATTACGTTATGAGCTGACAGTTCAGACTTGACAATGCCTG